GTGCACTGAGTTACTGAGCGTCCACTAATAGCACACTGAGTTACTGAGCATCCACACTGAGTTACTGGGCGTCCACACCGAGTTACTGAGCGTCCACTTACAGCACAAAGTTACTGAGAGTCCACACTGAATTACTGAGCATTCACTAACAGCACACTGAGTTACTGAGCGTCCACTAACAGCGCACTGCGTTACTGAGCATCAACTAACAGCACACTGAGTTACTCAGCGTCCACACTGAGTCACTGAGTGTCCACTAACAGCATACTGAGTTACTGAGCGTCCACACTGAGTTACTGAGCGTCCACTAACAGCGCACTGAGTTACTGAGCGTCCACTAACAGCAAACTGAGTTACTGAGTGTCCACTAACAGCACACTGATTTACTGAGCGCACACTAACAGAACACTGAGTTACTAAGTGTCCACTAATAGCACACTGACTTACTGAGCGTCCACTAACAGCACACTGAGTTACCAAGTTATTTCTGTTTGTAATTTTTCTTTATTTTTTGTTCTACAATGTCATCAGCCTTTATATTTATTTTATTTGCTTTTCTTTAATTTTATTTTTCCTGTCATATGATCAGCCTGTCAGTGTGTGCTGAGTGAGTTTCTCTGTTTTCGCTGTTTAAACCGTGTAATGAGAGCGTTTCAGAGCTGAGGTTTCTATCTTTTTACTCCATGAAGCCCAGCAGAAGGTCAGTGTTTTATGAGTGCAGTAACAGGAGGACAAACGGTGCGGTCAGCGTCAATTTACACTGAACAGATGAAGGTCAGCTGAGGAGTGCTACTTTTGTTTTGTAAAAAAAAATCTGATACTAAAAAAGTTCCTTTATTAAATAAACTGAGCGTCGCACAACACGAGTTCAAACGTGTTGAAACGTGACACTGAAACAAATAAATAAATAAATTTCTGTTTCTCCAGCAGCCGGATGTACGCATGTGTGCGGAGGGTTGTGTGTTTACATTAGTTCCAGCGCTAATGACTGCACGTCACGCATCAGGGCTCGCTAAAAGAAATAAATTAGCGCGATGCTACGCTGCTGCTCTGCTACGCCAGGACTGGCGTTTTAATCTGAAAGAGACCGAGTGCACCACTAAAGATAAAACACACAAGAGACTTAAGGATGAGGAGGGACAAAGGAAAAATGCCAGTCAGTCCCTGAAATTCTCTAAAAGCAGTTAAAGCACTAAGTGCTCTGCTTCAGAGAGGAGAGCGGGCGGAACGGACTGAGACGTCGCTATGGAGACGAGTAGACTGATAGGTACAGGTTGGAGATGGCCGGTAGTAGAGAGAGAGAGAGAGAGAGAGAGAGAGAGAGAGAGAGAGAGAGAGCAAGAGAGAAAAAGAGAGAGAGAGAGAGAGAGAGAGAGAGAGGCTTTAGTCGTCTCGCAGAAATCAGGAGGGTTTCGTCGTTCAATGCGGCCTCAATCGAAACCGCCTACTCTGAGAAAAAGAGGGGGGTTTGACTGACATGCAAACTGACCAATCACAGAATGACGATTTTTATTTAATGACGTGCAGGAGCAGAAGACTGTGAAAACAGTAAAAGCAGTGAAAACAGACTGTCATCATGTCTACATCTGCTCCAAATCGCAGCCGTGAGGGTCCTGACTGGTACCAGGAAAAGGGAGAGCGTCATCACTCAGACGCTGCACTGGTTACCAGTGAAACACAGAGTTAAATACATGTTTTAAGTCACATTTAAAAACCTATTTATGTTCTCAGGCATTCGAGTTTTTTTATCCATCTGAGGTCCATGAACTTGTGTCAAATTCTCTGTCTCTATATGTGTTTCTGTATCTTAACTAATAATCCAGCTCAGAAATCCAGTTCAAACATTTCCTGAATCTGTAGAGTCGCCCTTTCCATTCCATCTGATCATGAGATCGTACAGAGTTATGAGGCTATGAAGAGGGGCTGAGATACACGTCATCTGCCTCTCATTGTGTGGAACTGGTGGATTTGTGTGTCCGTCTACATTCTGTGTGAAACTGACCAATGAATTACTAAGGACTGACCCACCACGCCGGAAATCCTTTATTCTTCATTCAGTCCACATTGGACACACATGTGAAATGGTGTGCAGAGAGTTTACAACTGCTGAAGTTGCTGCAGCGGTTTTGGAAAGTAGTGATGAAGATAACAGAGCATTTTGATATGAAACATATGACGATCATGTTATATGAAAGGAGAATTTAAGAAGATATGAACAAATCGAGAGAGAATGACCTCAGACCACAAAGAGTTAAAGACTGTGTATTCACTCATCTGTTCGGTCTTGGTTTATACAGTCTTGCTGTCAGCAGCTCTTTACATTGTTTTCTTGTTTTTAATTTGACCTGGTTTCATGGTCGTGCTGTTTTCCTTGCTGAACGTGCAGGTTTGACTGGTCATTTTTGCACTTTGGCCGACGTGTTGTCTTTTAAATGTGCTACAGAAATAAAGGTCACTTGACTTGACTGACCACTGCAGGCCCGTTTGGTTCAGAGCATGCAGGGTAATCATTCTTGTGGTTGCAGAACCACTCAGTGGGATGACACAATGGTGTAGCTTTTTGCTGACTGGTTCTATGATTACGTCAGTATTGAGCCAACGCAGCCTGCCAACACCGAAAAATAATCAAATGAGTCCAGTTTGCTCAGACTTATCACTAAATAGAGCAGCGCGTGATTTTCAATCCACCATTTAAAAAATGTCAAACTACCGAACAACAACCGCTAAATGTTAAGGAGCTCTTCAAAAGATGGTTCTTTAGTAAAGGCAAAGGTTCTATTTGGAACTATGAGTTTTATATAGAGCCATATGCATACTTGGTTCTCTGCACAGTGAGATGGTTCCTGAGATTAATGGAGAATGTGCTGTATATGGTTCTATATAGAACCCTTTCTGAAAATGGTTCTATATAGCACCAAAAAAGGTATTATATACTCTATATACTTTTATAAAGTGCATTGATTTTGGAGCTATAGTATTTATTCATTACGACTGAGAAACCTACAGTTATCATACAAATCTAGTATTATTACATAATTATTAACTACATAAAAAAAGATGGTTCTTCAAGCCTTCTTTAATAAAAACAGTGCAACCATAAGGGCTATATAGAACCATGTCATGCTTAAAGGTTCTTAGCATGGTGAAATGGCTCTTCAGATTGATGAAGAATGTGTTCTATATAGCACCAAAAATGGTTCTGCTAGTGTTACAATGTCAAGTTTGGGTGCTATATAGAACCATTTTCAAAAACCATTTTTCAAACACATTCTCAATCAGACCATTTTACCCTGCAAAGATCCATTTAAGCATGCAAATGGTTCTTGGAATGTTGATGGTTCTATATAGAACTATACATGACCTTTGCTAATAACCTTTGCTAAAGAACCCTTAAAGAACCAACTTTTGTATTACACAGTGTTTTTAAACATCACTTCATTTATCGAAGGAAAAAAGTTCCAACACTGACTGGTTCTGTGTGAAAAAGTGATCGCCTCCTTAGTTACTCAACAACTAACCAAATTTTATTTATAACAGTTAAACTAGATACACTAGACAGCTGGATTACTGCAGCTCTGCTGAACCTAAACTTCACTTAAATAGAACCTTTCCAGCGTGTGGAGCATTATTAAAATGTGTAGCTATTTATATGTTTACGTTCATATTATATTTCCACACTGTATGTACATGTTTGAGTCACACTTCTGACAAAAACAGTAAAAATGTGAAAGATGATGTTTCTGTTAAGCGAGAATGCATGCACAAAAGCATTTCATCAGATTAAATCATAATAAAATTTCTCCTCTTCTTCTCACAGACACTGATGTGTTCTGAACTGAGAGTTTACAACCTGCACTTTCCACTGTTTCTCCACTCGCTTTAGTCAAAAATCATTCAGAACACTTCTATGAGTGTAGGTGTGTGTGCTCAGAGCGCTGAGGCTGAAGCAGTGCTGATTAAATGTATATAATGGACTACTGAAGAACACTAAAGGAGAAGCTGTGTGTCTGTACGCAGCCACCACTGAAACCAAAGAGGACGAAGAAAAGCGTTTTTTTCAGAAAATGTGGGTAAAAACAGAATGAAGTAAAAGCCCTTTAAAGCAGCGAGTAAGAAAACACAATAACTAACAAAGACGAGCAGAGGGAGAACAGAGAAGACAAGGAAAGCTAATTAACACCAGAATGCAGCACATTAACACCACAGCGCAGAACTGCGTTAACACACACGGACAAAGACAGACAGAAACGTTTTCATCCTCTGAGAGAGTCACTTGCTCTTAAAGTACACGTGGAAGCATCTGCACCTATAACCAGCAGCGCTAGCTAATATTCAATAATGCTGCAGATTATTATCACTGTCAGATCACAACCATACACACACACACACACACACACACATATATATATATATTTATATACACACTTTAATAATGTAGCCCTAATCCCTAATACAACGTTACTAATTGTTGCTAAAGTTCTGTATGCTCCCCTGGTTCTGCACACAGTCTGACATTTTCATTGCTGCTGCTCTATTGTCATCATTTCGCTGGCTAGAATGTGGGCTGGTGTTTGTAAATTTTGGGGGCATGAATATTAATGAGTCTAGACTCTTATGTAACAGTTAAGGGGTTTACAATCGGCCGAGATTTGAAGGAGGAGTCAGCAGTGTTTAAGGTTCATGGTTTGTCAGTGTGGCACCTTTAAGTCCTGACCACATCCACAATATACCATGAGAAATGTGTATCACAATATCAAAATTCATCATACATTTGCAGCCCCACTGTTTACCCCGCACTGTCCTGTTAATCTCCGAGCAGCCTTCAACATTCATACACCATCAGTGCAGCTTCAGGACGCCTATAAAGGAAAAGCTGAAGTGCTCTGACTGTACTAAAGTGTGTTGACCGCAGAGACCGCATTAGAGCTCTCAGTTCTCCACACAGCGTGAGTGCGTCTGGTCAGTCGTGCAGCCTGTAGGTGGTAATTTAGGATCTTTACCTAACCAGTCGTTGAACTTTTTGACCTCTGAGGGCAGGCCAAGCTCCGTGAAGTCTCCCGTATGGAGCAGCACGTCTCCGTATGGCATCTGCACACCATCTGTCCGAGAATGAGTGTCCGACACGCATACAAACCGCGTGTGGCCGCTGGGCTTCGGAGTGTCATACGGGATAGGGTCCACCCTGAAACACAGAAGATAGAGAATGGCAGTGTTAAGTTTCTTATTTTTATCATTTTTAATATTCTGCAACATTATAATCAAGCTTTGACCAAAATACAGCAGCATTACTGGTTATTATCGCTGTAACGATGCATTATTTTCAGGTTTGATTTTCAATTCTGAGGTGAAGATTCTGCTTAATTTCCAATGTTTTGTGTGTTGTAATGTTCTTGACCATTCTGAGCTCTAATTCTGTTCTACACAGACTAGTTAGGTTTGTGTAAATACAATTTCTCCAAAAGGACCTTTTCAGGGACTTTTTTTGAGGAATTCATACCGCCCTCTTCACTTTTCCTCAATCCTACTAAGGAATTCATACTGACCTCTTCACTCTTCCTCAATCCTGCTGAGGAATTCATACCGCCCTCTTCATTCTTCCTCAATCCTACTGACAAATTCATATCAACCTCTTCACTCTTCCTCAATCCTACTGAGGAATTCATACTGAGCTCTTCACACTTCCTCAATCCTACTGAGGAATTCATACCGAGCTCTTCACTCTTCCTCAATCCTACTGAGGAATTCATACCGCCCTCTTCATTCTTCCTCAATCCTACTGACAAATTCATATCAACCTCTTCACGCTTCCTCAATTCTACTGAGGAATTCATACCGGGCTCTTCACACTTCCTCAATCCTACTGAGGAATTCATACTGACCTCTTCACTCTTCCTCAGTCCTACTGAGGAATTCATATTGACCTCTTCACTCATCCTCAATCCTACTGAGGAATTCATACCGAGCTCTTCACTTTTCCTCAATCCTACTGAGGAATTCATACCGAGCTCTTCTCTCTTCCTCAACCCTACTGAGGAATTCATACTGACCTCTTCACTCTTCTTCAATCCTACCGAGGAGTTCATATTGTAAGATATAAAATAGAGAATTTTGAATGTTGCAATGCTTTTCAGGCATGAGGAAAAGGAGGTGAGTTTTTTGAGCTGGTAAAATTCAAATTAATATTTGCTCAACAGATTTGATACAATCACTCAGTGGACACATTTATTGATGAACGTTTGGAACTATTTGGACTGAAAATATTTTTTGCACAAAGCAGAAGCTACATCAGGCCGGTGGAGCTGCAGGCTTTTGTTATGGGGGAAGAGAGAGAGAGAGCGAGAGAGAGAAAGAGAGAGAGAGATTTTAAATCTATTTAGGAGAATCACACTTTTCTGTTCTGGGCATGCTTTTATTTCTTTCTCTAAAGGTTGTTTGAAGAGAATCGAGGGGGGAAGCAAATCTCTCCGCGTCTGAAAAGGAGAAGAAAAGCGAGGCAGACGATGAGCGTGTAATTGAAGTCAGAAACACGCAATAAGCAGCACTTTCTGCCTTCACTGCTATTTCACTATTATTTCATTATTACTTTATTACTGAAGCTGCTGTCAGTCTGAGAGAAAAGAGCTGCTCTAATTAACACTTACAGCTCCGCACCCACTCAGCACAAAGGGCTCCACACACACACACACAAACACACACACACACACACAAGCTTAGACCCCCCCTCTATCACTCAGCCCCACCCCCCCAACTCCTGCACTCAGACCCCCTACAAAAATAAAACTTCCTGGTCTTAGACCCCAGCAAACCACCCCTGCTCCATTAAAGAGAAAAGAGTGCGATAAATAAACACACACACGCACAGAAACACTGTGAGTGAGAAAGAAAGAAAGAATCAAAGGAAGGAAGAAATTTAAACAGAAATAATAGAAGTACAATTTGATCCAACACAATAAGCTGCAATAATTCATTACAATATATGATGATGTGATACACAGACACACACATTTTCTAAACCGCTTATCCGGCTGTGAAGTGGTGGGGGGTACTGGAGCCAGCGCTCATTGGGTCACAGCAGTCACAAGGCAGGAAACACCCTGGACAGGTCGCCAGTCCATCACAGAACAGACACACAGTCATACACATTCACACTGAGGGGCAATTTAGCATCTCTAATTGGCCTGACTGCATGTCTTTGGGCTGTGGGAGGAAACCGGAGCACTTGGAGGAAACCCACACAGACATGGGGAGAACATGAAAGGACTTGGGTCACCAGGCCGGGGAATCAACCCACGCCCTTCTTGCTATGAGGCAACGGCGCTACACACTGCTCCACCGTGCAGTCAATCTATAAAATTCAGTACAGTTTGATATGACAGGACTCACTGTGATACAGTTCAAAACAACACACCAAGCTACCATATGATTTAATACTATCTGATATGATGTATTATTACATCCCTAATAGATCTGAGCCTTCACCAGCAAACAGTGTGTGTTAAGACTTAGAGTTTATTTAGACTTCGACTTACTTAGACCTTATATAGACCTTGTCTATACTTATTCAGACCTTATTTAGACTACATTGACCTTATTTAGACTACTACATGGAGATTACACTGAAACAGAACAGAAAAGACTTTTTATCTAATCTCAGATTTAAAAAGTGAGTAAAGAGCAGCACTCCAGTGAGACATGCAACATGTTGCTGGATGTTGTCAGTATATAAGAATATAAGCAAGGAGTGAAATACAGAGGGTCCTGGATCCCTAATTAACCTCTTGGACCCCCTGACTGGGGACCCCTGAAAATATGCTATGCTGTCCATTAGAGAAAAACAGACACTCAAATCCAGCTTCTGTCTTTGGTGTTCTTCACTACCTAGAGCTGCAGCACTGCTCTGCCTCAGAGTGGCGCTATAGCAGACTGGTTCACCCAGTTGGTCCTTCATAGCCTAGAAACTGTAACTCTGCTTGGATTCCTCTGAATAACTTTACAATGTGCTGCAGCATATCTGTAAATCTGAAAACTCGCCCAGTTTCCCAAGAGTTTGGAGTGAAGAGAGACTGTTCCTCATTTCTCACACTGAAGACAGAGGAGGAGATAAGAAGATCTCAGTTAATGTGAGGAGGAGCGCAGAAGCACACTAGAACAGAGACTTTACAGAAGAAGAACTGATAAAACAAACATTTACAGCCATTGAAGCATCAGCGCTGCTATGGTGAGTAAGTTAGTAGCCAGACAACATGAGACCCCTGAATACCAGGGGTGGGTATTCAACACTGAATATAAGCATATAAGAACAGCTGCTCTGTACAATGGGTTAAATTCTAAGATGCACAGACCAAAATGACTCAGCATAAAATCTCTTTATGCAACTTCCTCTGAAAACATTCCTTCCTCCTCCTGTAGACAGACAGTGATGTTATGTGACTCAACCTCTGCGTCACACTGAAGATGGAGACTCAGTAAAGTCCAGTTAACAGGAGCAGAGTCGGTCCTGCGCTGTACTGGTTTTGACCATGTGAGTTCTGAGAGCTGCAGCAGTCAGACCGCCTTAACTCTGGATATTTAGCGTGGCCATTATTGTTTACAGATGCTGCACAGCGCAGGAGAGGAACGGAGAAAAGAGGAGAGTTTACCTGCTCCGTCTGTACCTGCTGATGATATAACTAAACCAGTTCTGCATCCACTCTAACGTCCAGAACTTCAGTATTTACGCTAAAACTCTAAATAAAACTGGAAAAACCACTAAAACGCTGCAGTGGACGTTTCAAATCTGCATACAGTAATTAGAGACGCACCAATACACTTTTTCCATTCCGATTCGATACCTGATCCTTAAGTATCAGCCGATACCGAAGACTGATACTAACTCTATCCAACCTGACTGACCAAGTCCTGATATTTATACAATTATATTTTTAAAATGTTTTATTTTGGTAAAATCTGTGTTCACACTCGGACTGAATGGCATTTACTTGTTGAATTATATTTATGGGATGCTTAAGAATACCTAATTTAGTTGATTTACTATATACATGCTACGAGTCAGAAAATTAATTATTCACAGTAACTACTTACTTAACTATTATAATTAGCCTTAATTATGACTGTATGTTACATATATTAGAGTAATAAAGCCTTGCGGGATATCGATATTGGTGGATTTTTTAACGTTTCTGCATGGTGAAACAGTTCTTCAGATTGATGGAGAATGTGCTGTAGATGGTGCTATATAGAACCGTTTTAAAAAGGAAGTGTTCTGCTATTGTTATGATGCCAAGCTTGTACAACATTCTCCATCAATCTGAAGAACCATTTCACCATGCAGGGAACCCTTGAAGCATGAAACGTTCCCTTTACTAAAGAAACCTAGAAGAACCATCTTTTTTAGGTGTGTTTAAAAACCTTGATATTTGACAAGTAGAGCATCACCGTGATAGGGTTAGTTTTCTGTGGGGAGGCAGGTGATGCCAGCTGACCACAGGATATCTGTGATGTTTATGAGTGATGTCAGTATAAATGACAGAGATGGAGCAATACTCAATCTGCAGGATATCGCAAACTGAGCTGCAAATCAATGGTATGGCACAGACACACACACACACACACACATATATTTATATATATACATATTTATCTATCTATCTATCTACCTATCTATATATATACACACATACATATAACTGAGGAATCAGGTCTCCTCTTTTTGATGTACGTTTCTCTTTTGATGCCAGCAGCCATTCTTTTCAGTCCACTGATTACATTTCTCCTCAGAACCCCACCTCCCTCATCTGATTGGATGGGAGTAGGGTTGGGCAACATGATGATATATATCGTTATCATGATAAATTGTGTCACAATACAATACACTTTTCTGAACATACTGTGTTTATCGTCAGTTCTTGTAGACACTGACCAACTGCATGTTTTTGTTATACAGTCTAGAAACTGTAACTCTGCCTGGATTCCTCTGAAAAACTTTACAATGTGCCGCAGAACATTTCTTGACAGAATAACTGTTTATCTTAATTATTATTAATAATAACTTATTATTTACTAAAATTTGGACCATATTTCATATACTCTGCCATTTTATAAAAGCAATAAGCCACATGAGGTCATTCCATACAGGGATTTCATTATGGCTAAGGAGGTCTTTCTCTGCTTCAATACTGTAAA